CTAATGAATGCCGATACAAAAGGCTGTATATTTACTTTATATTATTATGTATGTTTTGTCTTTTCTTGTATTTTTCTTTCTGTTTTTAAAGGTAATAATGTTTAATAAAAACTATTTTAAAAAAAAAAGACCTCCCCCAAAATAAGGCCAAGAACTTATTTTGGGGGTCAAAAGAAAATAAGTCCTTTGACTTATTTTTGGGGAAACACAGTAGTTTTAATAGTGACATGATATAAAAATATTCAATTATAACAGTATTAGAAGATAAACCTTGCATAGCCCTTTAGTTTTCAGTATTTTAGCTTCTGTTTATTATTCAAAATATTTGAAAAATATAGGAATTTGTTTCACCATGCCTTTTAAATTTGTCACATGTTCTTTCTGGGCAGATCCTAATAGAGAGTGGTTAATACTAAAAGTTTAATCACAGCTTCCATCTGCCACATGAAACTTGCTTGAAATAGCTCTTGAGTGCTACATATGATAAATGAATGTACTGGAGACTGAACCACATTACGTATTCATTGCTGTCATATTGCTCAAGTGCTCCTTGTGGAAACCATACATTCGCAATAGTGATTTGAAGTTGAAGTACGACAAGACACCACCAAGTTTTCTTTTTTCATTTTTTTGTCTGTTTGAAAGCTGAAAGCAACTTAAATGGAGTCTCCTCTAATTTTATTCTCCAAAAGAATAACATGTTAAATAGCTAGACTGAGAGAAAATACTTGACCCAAAGTTACCCAATAAACTCTGTAATTGAGAGAGATCTTCATACATCCAACACCTTAATAACTGCACTATGGCAGCACATCTCTTAATTTATACAGCAACTGCAGAGCAAAGGCAGTTTCATATGTTTTATCTAGTATCCATATAATAAAAATGAGATTAATAAACTAGAGTTGAATTTTTAAAGGAAAAAAATATTTCATCTGCATATATTAAAGGTTACACAAAAGGAGATAAGCAGGGTATTATGCAATTTAGAACCAAAATTGTAATCTTCAAAATATGTTTAATACTCTATTAAGCTTATCAGAGATAACTATTGTAAGAAGAGGAAGAAATTAATGTTTTTATTTATTATTAATTTTATAAATTTTCACAATCCTAAAGGATTCCTGACATTTCACAAATATACCATTAAACATGCACAATCCAGTTAAATAAACATAGAATACAAATCATTTACACAACCAATCTGTAATGCCTATGCAAGAACGTATCAGAAGCTTTCTGGAAACACTTCATTTTGAGCTTTTTTCAGAAAGCAGTGAGAATGGGAGCTGCCCTAATGTCCACTGGGAGGCAATTTCAAAGAACAGAGATTGCCCCTGAAAAATAGTACTTCCATAAGCCTTTGTCACTACCTAATCAGAAATTACTAATGGCTTCCCTCAGCTGTAGCAAATTGGCCAGCCAGTTCCATTGGGGCAATGGAGTTCTGCAGACAACTTGGCTTTCAAGCCATTTAGGGCTTTGTAAATTAACACTAGAACTTTAAATTGCACTGTTGATAACCAGCAAAGAGTCTAAATGCTGGCCAATACATTGCCAGATTTGGAATCAGTTGAAGCTTCTGACTTGCCTTGAAAGACAATATACAAATAGCAATAGCAGTAGACTTATATACCGCTTCATAGGCCTTTCAGGCCTCTCTAAGCGGTTTACAGAGAGTCAGCATATTGCCCCCAACANTTTGACCTCTGTCATTGCCAACAAAGGATATATAACAAAGTATTGAGATGAACTTTTGATATTGACCAAATACTTATTTTCCACCATAATTTGCATAAAAATTCTTTCCAAATCAGACAATGTGATTGTCTGGATTTGTTTCCCATTTTGTCTCTCATAGTTGAGATCTACCTATGACATTAATTACAGGCCTCTCTCATCTTTTTAAGTGGGAGAACTTGCACAATTGGTGACTGACTAAATACTTTTTTGCCCCACTGTAGATATAATTCCATTAAGGATTAGACATGTGGTTGGTCAACCAGTTATTAATCCATCTGGTGGTAATGCTATCTAGTCCACATTTTTTTATTTTATCAAGTAGCATGTTGTGGTCCACTTTGTTAAATATCTTACTAAAGTCCAAACACAAACAACATTTCGGTAGTCAGTTTGTCAAAAAACGTAATAGCACACCATTTATCAAAGAATATCTGACAAAACTTATAATTTTTGCTTATAATTTTGCTTATCTCTAAGTGTTGGTAGATTTGTTGTTTTATTATTATTATTTCCAGGAATTTCTCTGGTATTGATGTTAGGCTGATTGATCTTTATAGTTTCTTTGGACTGGAAAATCATTCATTAAAAATCAAAGTTGTGATTGTCTTATTCCAAATGTTCCCTTCTAAACAATCAAGGATCCTAAGAAAAAGGCACTTTTAAATATGAAAATAATTATTGAAAAAATCACTTAACTACATTTCCACAAGCAGGGCAACTGTTAAAGGGGCAGAAATAGAGAAAATTAAAGCAAAAAGTGACCACTTCACTCCTTTAAGCCTCAAATAAAAACCAGGATGTAAGACACTAATAATATATAAATATATAAGTAATGTACAGGTAGTCCTTGACTTACAATTACAATTGAGCCCAAACTTTATGTTGCTAAATGAGACAGTTAAGTCAATTTTGCCTATTTCACATAGGTATTGTTGTTCAGTTAGATTCTTAAGTGAATTTAGTTTCCTCAATGACTTTGCTTGTCAGAAGATCACAAAATGTGATTAAATGATTCAGGGCATTGCAAGTCATAAATATGAACCAGTTACCAAGCATCTGAATTTTTATCATGTGACAATAGGATGCTGCACAACAGTCATATGTATGAAAAATGGTCATAAATGACTTTTTTTGTGTCTCTGTAACTTCAAAAAGTCATTAAATGAATGGTTGTAAGTCGAGAACTACTTAATAATTGTTCTCATTAGAAAAACACTGGTTGGATCCAAATTTAGTCTCATTTACTGAGATACAAATTGAAAAGTTAATGGAGTTTACAGTGCTAATCAGGCTCATATATTTTTTTTCTATTCATAGGTGTGCGGACACATTAGCAAATGTTACAGCGTGGCTGCTCAGTTTGAAGATTGCAGAGAGAAAATTACTGAAATGCCCAATATTATTAAGGACCTCTGCAGAGTGCTGTATTATGGCAAGGTAAACTCTTGCTTGGCAGCTGTGTTAATGCTCCAACTCTTTCAAAACAGTTCCTACATGGATATGGATGCTGTGTATTTTTATAAGAGAATCTCATTCAGAAGAGATTCATATTTCTTAGCGTGTGAAGAATACATTTTTATCTTAGCCTGCTAAACTAATTTTGTTAAACAGAGTAAGCTTCTGGCATCAGTAGACTATTTATCTTATTGCACATCAATTATACTATAATACTATATTATAGTATACTATAATATAAGCAATTATGCTATAAGCAATATATTTTAGGGGGAAGCAGAAATATGCATGTTACATTAGTAGATCTCTTAATTCCTACTAAATTTCAACAGCTGTCACTAAAATCCCAAAACAAATGTATTTATTCCTGCTTAGAACATTCCACGTGTGGCTTCAATCGGAGTTGAATGTGTCAGCTCATTTGCAGTGGATTATTGGCTACAGACACATCTGTTCCAAGCTGGCGTTCTGTGGTATTTATTAGGCTACCTCTTTAACTATGATTATACACTGGAAGAGAGTGGCATTAAAAAGAGTGAAGACTCTAATCAGCAGGTAATCATTATGCATTGCTAATAGATTGCTAATTTTTAAAATAATGAAATATTACATTTTAAATTTAAATTTCTAGCATGCTCTTAGGCATGTACAGATTAATTTTAAATCCTTAGGATTGTTTAATATGCTTTTAAATAAACCCTTGAATGTGTATTGTGGATTTTAGATAAATAATTGAAGAGGCATTCCGAGAGAGTGAGTGAATGAATGAATAAATAAATAAATAATGCAATGCTCAGTGTTCTCCTTCTGTTGGTACAAAGCAGGGTTTAGTAATAGAAGAGATGGGGGAGAGATAGGTGGATAAGAAGAATTAAATGGAGATAATTCCTTACTTTATTCCAAAAATGGCTTAGATCTGGGTGAATGTGAATTGTCAGAATTGTGTTTGCTAAGCAAAATTGTTGTGTGACATTTCACTTAGCAACCACATCATTTAGCAATGGAGTTATCAATCCCAACTAGAGTTGTTCAGTGAGGACTACTTGTAACCTACAGTAATTAAATTCCTGAAAGATTCAGGAAGGATTCAGCGACTCAAGATTCCCAAAGATTCAAGATACAAATGACAATTACAAAATATAGTGATTTGGAAACCTGAGCTTTTGCACAAGCATCTTAAAAGAGGAAAGTCTAGAAAAATGTACTGTATTTTTGGAGTATAAGACGCACCAGAGTATAAGATGCACTTTAGTTTTGGGGGAGGAAAATTGGGGGGGGGGGAATTGTGCCTACCAGGTATTATTTTTATTCCCATAGCACCAGAAAAGCAAGCAAAAACAATAGTATAATAAAATGACAATTTTTGCCACTTTTTTTCTTTCCCCAGGCTGTCTGGGAAACTCTTAATAAGTTTAACTAGATGTCTGGGCATTCAGCCTAAAGCTCCTAGTAAAAACAAAGCTGAATCAACAAACCAGCCCAGCATTTTCCTGAGGGAAACCATTGAGAAAACTCAGATAGCCAATAGGAAAAATCCCTGCCTTGCCCTTAAAGGGATTATCCCCCCCAAAATAGAAATCACAGTTACAGGAACTCTCTGCCTTACCGTTGAAAGGATTATTTCCCCAAAATAGAAACTGAACAAAAGAAGTACCTCTTAAAGCAATTTTCAAATCTTTCGTTGTCAGTTTCCCCCAACTGGAACGAACCAGGAAATTTTTCCAACAGTATGCTGCAGTAAAAAATATTCGCCCTAATGAGGTGCTAATGAGTGGAGTAAAGCGTGCTTTACCCGGAAGATGCTTCACTCGTTAGCACCTCATTAGGGCTGGAAAAAGCTACATTCCAAGTATAAAATGCACCTAAATTTTCAACCTCTTTTGGGGGGGAGGTGCATCTTATACTCTGAAAAATACAGTAAATTATTATGCTGCTTCAGCTTGAAAACCCTTATATACTACCAGCAAAGGAGTTTTATAACTTACCATGAAGATTGGTTGATATGTGAAACTTCTGCAATCTCTATCTTGTTTGTGATCTGAAGCTGTTCTTCCTTATCAATATTGTATTTATTTCCATGTAGCTATTTACAAAAGTGTCATGGAAAATTCAAGAAAAAGGCATTCCAATTCCTATTCTTTTCCATTACTCCTTCAGAAAAGCTCTCATTTATTCATTTAGGAAGATTCTCCTGAATAGCGACACTAGGCATAGAATTAATGGCAATTACCAGAATTGTTAAGATTCAAGCTTTATATCTTTTGCATCTAGATTCTTTCTGTAAAGAGAGAAGATTATATTAGAATAGATAACAAGCATTGGATTTATTTGTATTTTCTGTTCATAGGAAGTAGCTAATACCCTTGCCAAACTCAGTCTCCTTGCTTTGAGTCGGCTTGGTGGATACCTTTCTGAAGAGCAAACTACACCTGAGAATCCAGCAATCAGAAAAAGTCTCGGTGTCCTGTTGACCCCTTACATTACAAGGAAACTTGCTGTGGTCAGTCCTGCTGAGGTACATGAAAAGAGACATTTTATTACAGTAGTGCTTTTATTTAACAAAGATACCATGTTCTAAAATATATAATGTGTTACCCTGTTTCCCTGATCTTCCCAGATAATAATCAGGCTTGTGAGCACATCAGCTAAAATAAGTCGTCCCTGAAAATATTGCAACACAGCAGCAGCCATGAGATAACCACGCTTGCCTCCTCCTGCATCTCAAAAAACAAATAAGACCTCCCCCAAAATAGTAGAAACCAAGGGGGAGAAACAGGGTAACACATTATATATTTTAGAACATGGTATCTTTGTTAAATAAAAGCAC